TATTTAGTATGGATTTATATTGTCCCAGTGCAGCGATGCTTAAATTGTATCAAGCAATTGGGTCTAAATTTCTAATGTTATTGACGGAGAGTTTTGTTCAGCTTTTACCCATTAACAAGTCCGAATACTTCACATTAGACGTCTGTCGCTAAGTGAAAGCTCAGTAAAAAAAAAAAAAAAAAAAAAAAAAAAAAAAAAAAAAAAAAAAAAAAAAAAAAAAAAAAAAAAAAAAAAAAAAAAAAAAAAAAAAAAAAAAAAAAAAAAAAAGTTACGTGACGCGTGGCTGCATTTTGAAAAGTGACTTTATTATATTTTCAACGTTGATTCTGTTTGTTAAAGGATTCATACTTGAAATAAAATACAAGCTTATTACTGACCTGTTAATAATACAACACGAAGGATATGATATACTAGATTATAAGTATGTTTATCATTCTAATTCTAATGCTTTACACACACACACACACACACACACACACACACACACACACACACACCAACACACGGCACACACACCACACACACACACACACAACGCAACGCACACACACACACACACACACACACACACACACACACACACACACACACACACACACACACACACACACACACACACACACGCACACACACACACAACACACACACACACACACACACACACACACACACACACACACACACACACACAACACACACACACACACACACACACACACCACACACACACACAAACAACACACACAAAACACACACACACACACACACACATGAAAACTGATCCTAAATCGCCAGGAAAAGTAAATTTTTTGTACGTAAAACTAACAGAAACCTCTATCTATGACAAACATCTGTTCTGCCTTGTGCGTGAGAGCTGTCTACCGCTCGCCCGTGTCTTTTGTTGTCGCAAATTAGACGTAGTTATGCGAATTATAATGGTTGGAATTTAGAGCCACAGTGTATGGAAGCCACTTTGTGAAATCTGGATAGGTATTTGTGTTCGGGATCATATGTTTTTTATATCTATGTACATGTGTGTGTGTGTGTGATGTGTGTGGTGTGTGTGTGTGTGTGTGTGTGTGTGTGTGTGTGTGTGTGTGTGTGTGTGTGTGTGTGTGTGTGTGTGTGTGTGTGTGTGTGTGTGTGGTGTGTGTGTGTGTGCGCGCGTATGTATGCATCACTACACATACACACATACCTTCATACATTATCTATTCTTTTTGTCTTCTTTCTTTTTTCCCCTCTTTTCATTCTCTTCTTTCCGTCTTATTTTACACTCTATTTTCTATTCTATTTGTTGGCAACGCGAGATAACGGCGGTGATTTCAACGCTGCAAAAGAGAGTGATCCACAACAGCATCTGTGAGCTATTTTCATCCTCATTATTGCAGAGAATGTTGACATCGTTTCCAAACAGACATTAGAGATAAGTTCATCTGTTGTAATTTATCACTATGTTTTTTTTTTTTTTTTTTTTTGCACGGATCATCGTGTGTTTATTAACTTGTGTAGCGTTGGTAATGATATATTTTTCGATTTCATTATTACACAAGTTCGTTACGTTATCGTTGACGAAGAAGTGTGAGGCAAAACAAGGGCACTCTCTCTCTCTCTCTCTCTTTCTCTCTCTCTCTCTCTCTCTCTCTCTCTCTCTCTCTCTCTCTCTCTCTCCTCTCTCTCTCTCCTCTCCTCTCTCCCTCTCCCTCTCCCTCTCCCTCTCCCTCTCCCTCTCCCTCTCCCGCCTCCCTCTCTCTGATGAGGATTAGCTTCCGTTGCCAAAGCACCTGCGTGTCATCTCGATGCCTTTATTAGTATATTTAGTAATAGTTAAGTAATATAGAAGAGAAGTTCCATTTTCTGTGGGACTGACTGTGACCTGAGAGTGACTATGACCCCTTTTGTGTCCCTTGACCTGAGGTGTCCTGGGGCGAAGTCCATGTGGAGTTTGGTCCTGGAGTACCACCTGGAAGTAATTATCGTTTGGTATCCCACTCCAGGTGAGTTTTGGAGTGAAAGGCTTCCTGAAAATTGGTAGCACATCTGCATACATTTTGAGCACATAACTGTTTTACTTTTCCCTCTTGTTTGAAGCATGTGGTCGACGAGAGAGAAATTGCAGTTTGTAAATTAAGATAATTAAGTTGTAGATTAATACTGAAAGATTATATGTATGATTTAGAACCATTCATTAATTTAGGAAGCGTTATTCACAGATATTACAGAATGGTATAAGATTAGGTATATTATACTGACGAAGAACCAACTTGAGGAAATGGAATCTAGTATACTTTCTATTTTCTTAATTCCTAAATATATAGTATCCCGGGATTAATAACATATATTTTTTAGATACAAGGGCCTTGCATACAACTTTTTCATAACGAAATCCTAACCACACGCTCTATTAAGGCTCGCATCATAATGACACTTATAATATCATAACGAAGGTGATTACACTACAAGACAAACACACACTTATTAATCATACATACAATACCCA